TCTTTGTTGAATCATTAAATGTGTTATATAAATTATTTTTTTTATTTCTTTTTCATTGTTTGAAGTTGTTCAAAACAATTTAATTTTTTAATACTTTGGTTTTATTCATTAAAAATTATTTTATTTTCCTTGTTTTTCTTTTATCATTTATGTTTCTTAATTTCTTTGGAGATATTCTTATTTCTATTATTTGTAGGTTTTGTATGACCAGCAATGAATTGGTACTATCTTATTCTTCTGTAATCAGTCTTCTTCGGAATATTATTTTATTTATCCATTTTTCTCTTTTTGTATTTTTTATTAAGTACAATTCTTTTTTTTTTACTCTTCTCAGAATGAATAAATATTATTTTTAATACAAAAGATTTGTTTGATAGTTATTCAAACTGTTTCCATTTACTTAAATTTTATTCAATAAAGTAAAATAGTTAATTCAATGATAATACTTTTATTTTATATTATTCTCTGATCACATGAGATTAATTACATTTCTGTGCTTTAAGAATGGTTATTCATCTATTATTTACTTATTCTTGAGTATTTCATTATTATTGAGAATTGTGATTTTTTCTGTTCTTCATTCTTTTATTTAGATTGAATTAATGTCTTTTCATATTTAATCAACTTATTTATTCTTCATTTAAATATTTATCTCTTCTTTATTTAAATTTATTGTATATTAAATATCATCAATCTTTATTTTCTTATTACATGTCGTGTTTGTTCATATCATTATAAGCATCATATTACTAATTCACAATTTCATTTAGTCTCAATAACAAATAAATCTTTTTTTTCTTTAATAATACCCATAGTAACAAATATACCTCCATCTTAACAAGAAAATAATATTACCATCTTCATAAATACTCGTTCTCCTATTATAATAAATGACATGTGAACAATAATAATCACTTCCATTCTTATAATATTGAGTGATGTATTTACTAACCAATTCAATCCTCATATTCATATGATAGATGGTGATAAAAAAATCATGATTCATTTTGATATTTTATGAGTTGCTTCTGAACGTGCAACATTCTAACCTTTTATTCAATACTTTCTATTTATCAACAAATAGATTTGAAGTTGACTTGTTAAAAATAATTCAATAATACTAAATTGAAATTCATTCATAAAGTTGTTTTAAAACATTCTATAAATTATTTGCTGATTATGTATAACAAAAGAGATAATCATTAATAAATATGACTAATTAAAGAAAATAATATATCACAAAGAATAATAATAATATTGAAAAACGCCAATAAATTGATATTATTTTTATAAGCTAATGTTAATATTTAAAATATAAAACAAAGTATTCAATGAGTAAATCACAGACTAGTAAATTATTGAAAATTTCTCATTAATTGAATAATAAAGTTTATTATAATATCAAATTTGGATTTACGTTAAATTAAAATTATTACCACAAATTTGATGAAAGAATGACTTGATTGAATAAAGTAATTCGAATAAAATGTTATCTGTTGAATAAACAGTATTATATGCTTTAATAAAACTAACAAGAAAAATTATTATATAAAAGAGTTAATTATTTTCTTTTATGGGATATAAATTATTTATAAAACAAATTAAACATCGCAATAAACTAAATGTTTTAATCAGTGTTATGTTTATAAGTATAACAAACAAATTAATATAAAAAGAATGTGAATTAAATTTATTATTTTTAATAATATGATGACAACAACATAATAATTATTCATAACTCTTTTATTTTCTTCTTAATTATCACATTATGTTTTAGTTATTGAACATAAAGCATTTCTTTCTTCAATTTTATTATTTTGATAAATAACTATATTTATTCAAAATGATAAACACATCCATTTTAATTGAATAGTTAATACTTAATTAGTTTAAGTTATTTGTAATCAAAGCATTTAACTCTTATTGCTAATTTTAATAATTCGTATGTCGGTAATTATTTTTTAATGTAAAGTATTTAATACAATCAAGTTTATTCTTTTCTATGTTATTTTTTATAGTACGGTGTTTTGCATATATTGTGTTTTATTATTTTATTGATAAATGAAAGTTAAATAGCAATTAAATATAATATATTCATTACATAGTTATATATTCATTGATTTTTAATATAAATTGAGAAAACAAATGAAAAATGAATAATAATCTTAAAATACTTCAAAACTCAATAACAGAAAATATAAAAAAGAATGGAAAATACGACAAAAAGAAATGATAAAGAAAGAATGAGGTTAGGATATAATGAAATAATGATAGTGTCAAAGTACTTTGAATATATTAATGATTTTATTAATTTAGAAGAGTTAAAAGATTTCAAGGGAATATGGAACGATTTCATTTTAATCCAATTCCATTGAATCAATATCCAAGAAAATTCTTTCCTAATATTGAAACATTTCATATTTATAAAGAAGAAGATAAAATATTTAAAGATGGAAGAATATTTAAATAAGTAATATGGTATAAAGTGAATTATTCAAGATATTTAGAAGAGAAAAAAAAGAAACGAATGAATGTAAAAATATAGAATATACACAAGAAGATAGAAATACATATGGAACTACAATACCAATAGAAGTTAATTCACTTGGAGATATATGTTTTAGATGGTGTGATGATATTCAATCAATTAATATACCAACAAATGTTAGTAAAATAGGAGATAAATATTTTGAATATTGTACATCATTAAGAATAATTAATATACCAACAAATGTTAGTAAAATAGGAGATAAATATTTTGAAAGATGTTCGTCATTAACATCAAATAGTTATAAAAATATCCAATTTGTTGGTGAAGATAGAATAATTGTGAATGAACAAATTATGGCATCTATTCCAATTGGTAGGTTAAAAATAATTAATGAAAAGGAGATAAAACCTAAGAATATAAATGAATTTGTTATACCAACAACAGTCACTAAATTAGGAAATTATTGTTTTGAAAATTGTTATTCATTAACATCTATCAAGATACCAACATCAGTAAGTGAAATAGGAAAGGAATGTTTTTTATGAATGTACGTCATTAAAATCAATTACTATACCAACAACAATTAGTCAAATAAGAAATAATTGCTTTTATTATTGTAAAGAATTAAAACCAATTACTATACCAACAACGATTACATCATTTGAAAAGGGATATTTTTATAAATGTGGGTGTAAAAGTAAGTTAAAGAAAAATAAAAAAAATACCAAAAAAGTGTTTTAAAATATGGAGTGAATGGATTGAAGTATAAAACAATAAATTTACAGTCAGTTAATTCTAATCCAGAAAGGAAACGGAAATAAAATAATTAACTCTATTTTATAGTATTGTTTTTACTCATTTCTTTCTCATTATTATCTTTTTATTTTTGATTATCATTACTTCATTTTTATTATTATCAATTTCATGCTACGTTAATTTGATTAATATTTATTAAAGATACAATTACCAGATAATAAAATATTAGAATCTAACTGTATTTATTTTTATTCTTTTCTGATAATTATCATTTCAATAAATAATTGAATCCTTTTCAATAATAAATGGTTTAATTGTGAAACGAATAAAAAGTAATAACATCAATATTAAAAAAGAAGAGAATCTTAAGTATATTCTGATTTATCTTCTATATTCATTGAATATAGTCTACATATTGAAATTATCAATGTAAAATAAGTATTTGATTTTAATATAAAACTAATATTTTAATTATTTTTAATATATTTCATTTCAGTCTCTCCTTTACTCATTGATACAGGAAAGAAATAAAAATGATTTTAAAAGAATAAAATGGTATTTTATATAAGAATTAAATAATTGGTCAATCTTTTAAGTTATATCTCTTTTATTAAATACAATAACTCTAATACATAAATACTCTTTTATAATATTGTATGTTATTGATATTTATGATTCTATCACCTTA